TTAATAGTCAAGTTTTTAATGTAAGACTGCAGCCTTATCATAAACTGTTAGGACGTTTGGTATAACCTCGACCTTATACGACGCAAATGTTTGATCTGTCATTAGAGGTGGATATGGGGTGTCTAGACCTGCATAGTGAATGTTTTAGAGGGAATGATAGCAAACGCTAAAAAGTAGTTCAGTGGGACTAACTATTTACGTACGATAAAAGGATATTGCCTTATGTAGTGTTACATTAAGAACAATAATAACTTAAGTAACTGGGAAATTTTTTAAATATTTAATAATAATAATAATAATCTATTCTAAAATAACAGTTTGTTACATGAGGCATACCAGTTTACAGGCAAGATCAAATTGATACAAATGATATAATATCCACCGTAGTAAATTACATAGCTGGGTTGATAATTTATAAGATATGAATATAGATGGTCTTAATCAGTACCACAGTTCGCGCGCTTCATGGAAGTTGCGTTGCCAATGTGCAACTGATGGTCAAGGATAGGTCCACTGAAGGTGGGAGCTTCTAAATGTAGCATCCTTATGTCCCTTTGGAATGTTTAAGGCTTCGAGGATGGTGCAGGATGAAATCTTTCGTTCCATATCACAAGGGGGCTGAAGAAATGTTTAAAGTATGATTACTCAGTCTAATTTTCTTTTATTAAGGTATTTGTTAAAAAAGAGCATTTTGATAGGTTAAAGAAAATAAGTGTTAACAAGGTGTGAGTGGACATACAACTGACAAATGGAGGCGATTCGGAAAGAGCTGAGAGTATGGGATTTTGTGTGATTATAAAATAAAATATAGTGCTAGAAACAGTATTGTGATATACAATTGGCTATCTTCCTTTTTTTATCGAAGCTATTAGAGCCCTTTTCATTTTTTTCTGTATTATTATTATTTTTTTTAGGTATCATAGGGTCTTGAGTAGGCTTCGTATATTAGCGAATTGTCTAGTTTGCTTGTAATAGGATTTCTGGGTAGGAAGTGAAACCAATTCAACGTTCGTAACACGATTTAAAGAGGTATTTTGCGTGATAAATCAGCATCAATACCATAAGTTCGTGACATCCCACTAAAACATAAGGAGCCGTAATTAAACAAAATGTTCTGCCCTACAGACATGGGTGGATTGAAGTTATCTCCCCACCTTCATGTTTGCTGGTCAGTAACGCCACCCTCCCTCCTTTTGTGATGTTAGGCTCTCTTACGTTTGTGGTAAGTATGAATACTGCTTTAATCAAAGCCCATAGTTGGAATACACTGTCTCTACTAGGTCCATGTTACAAGCAAATCAGATAGTTGAAAAGTCTTTTTTGGGTTAGATGTCCATATAGTATATCACACTGCTATGAAAATAACTAATGGTTTAAAGAAGTAAGGACTAATAGCAAATCAAAAGATATGAGAGGGTATAAAATTGTAGAAAGAAAAAAAAGATTTCAGGGTAAGATAAATAAAGCATTGAGAAACTCACAAGACTTTGTGGCCAAATTTTGAGCTTTGTATGATCGGCCTTAGTAGATCAGCATCCATAAGATCGAGCTATCTGTCTACTTGCAGTAGAAAAAAAGACATGACTTTTAGGAAGAATAACGTTCTTTCTAGATACTAGGCGGTCCGTAATAAAGTGTCTCATTGGTGGGCGGGAGTTCAAGGAAATGTTGAAGCTCTTTGGAGTCTAGTAATAGGGCTATTAGCATTTTGAATCTGACAAAAGTGTCACAGTTACGGATAAGTATTGGCAAACTGTTTCACAATAAACTATACCATACTGTAAAGAAAACGCATTCGTTTTTGGTGTTTTACGGTAAGTAGTGTATATGCGTTGTTTCTAAGTCTATAGGCTGGGTCGTGGGTGATAGTCGGGCAGGAGGTTAGAAAGGAGAGCCCATATATCGCTTTGTAGAGAAATATTAAATTGTTTTTAGCCTACGGTGCCATAAAGGTTCTAAAGAGAGGTGCTTACATCTATCTGTGTAATCGAGATTCGAGTTACATCCTAGTAGTTGACGTGTGAAACGTCTTTGAACATCTTCTACTCTTATCTTGTCTGCGATATTCATATTAGAGAAGACAAAAGAGCAGTATTCAAGGGAAGGTCGTACACATATTTTGTAGAGAGTAAGTTTACCCTCTGTTGTGAAAAAGTTTTTCATTATAAAACCAATTAGCCGTCTAGATTTAGAAATAATAGAGGAGGCATGTTCTTCAAAGTTTAGGCTTCCTGTGTAATTAATTCCTAAATCGTGTACTGATTCGAGTGTTTGGACTCTACATTCATTTAAGTGAAGTCGCGGTTTATAGGGATGCTTTCCAAAGTGCATGATCCCGCACTTGTTGAGGTTAAATGGTAATTGCCATTTTTCACTCCATATAGTTAAGTTATTGAGGTCCTTTTGGATCTGGGATACACTTTCGCTTAGTGTCTCAGGCTTATAGCTGTATACTATTTTGAGATCATCAGCATATAAGTATGGTTTCCCAAATTCTATGGTGTTACATATATCGTTTATATACATAAGAAACAAAAGTGGACCTAATACGCTTCCCTGGATGACTCCACTGGTGATTGGTCTAGGGGACGAGAGACAGTCATTGTACTTTACCATCTGTTTACGTTCTGTTAAGAACGAAGCAAACCATGAGTACAGTGGGTTGTGTATTCCGAAGGACTTTAGTTTGACGAGTAGCCTTTTGTGTGGGACCTTATCAAAGGCTTTCTTAAAGTCTAGGAATAGGACTGATACAAGGAGTCCGCTGTCTCGTTTCAGAGTTATATCATTCAGGTAGTCTACTAGGCATGTATCGCATGATCTGGACCTAAGAAATCCATGCTGGGAGGTCGAGATGAGATTATTAGTTAGTAGATGTTGGACTACAGCCGCCTTAACTACTTTTTCCATCACTCTGGATACCACTGAAGTTATGTTTATAGGCCGGTAATTTTCAACGTTTGCTTCAGGTCCTGTTTTAATTTTGGGAATGATATGTGTAGTTTTCCAGGCAGTAGGGTAACACGCTGAAGAGAGTGATATCGCGAATAGTTTGAGAAGCAAAACACACATATCATCACCTCCACGTTTTAGCATGCTAGATGGAATACCATCTGGTCCATCAGTGTAGGAGTGTTTCAATGTACTGATTGCCTTGGAGATATTTTGTACACTGAATTCTACATTAGTAATTTCACAGGGAGTTACTGGGATTGGTTCTGAATCATTAAATGGTTTTTCGTTAGTTAATAAGGAACAAGTGTTCACTAAATAGTTCCGTAACAAGTTAAGGACTCTCGTATACTTGTTTTTCTTTAATAAATATGTTCCCTCTCGATTTAGAACGTTTAAGATTATTACGAAAGTGTAGGGTGAGTGTAGAGGAGTTATTATTAAGTTCGACAGCACGTTTTTCCTGTGCGATCGTTTCTTGTGTACGTATTGCCTCTGTTCAGAAAAATATTTCTGTCAACGTTACTAAAGAGGAAAGGGCATCAAAATTGTGGAATCGAGTACAATGCCTTTGAAGTCGCCGACCGATATATACAGATCTTTAGAGAACTTAGATCTCCAGTATTCTGAAGCTGCGATTTTGTTGAGGATACTTCTAATGTTGTGATATAATATATTGGTTAGTGTGTCGGTATTGTTTGCAGTAAAAAAGTTCCCCAATTAATACTTCTTAGGTAGTCGTGAAAGTTGTTCCAATCAACCTTGCCATAGCGTTTACGAAGAATTATGGTTTTACGTCTGCCGGTTGTGGTTTTAATATTAAAGCTATATATGACAATGTTATGATCACTACCTGGAAACTTGTTTCCAATATACACAGTGTTGGGGGTGAGGCCACTGGTAAAGACTAAGTCGAAGATATTTGGATGTCTGGTAGGGCCCCTGACATACTGACTCTAGACATTCAACAAATGATTCGTAACGTTTTGGTGCCATGACTGGGAACCAACAAGTTTCGGGCATGTTGAGGTCACCACAGATAAGCTTGCCTGTTGATGTAGCTTACATTAACTTCAGCAAGGCTTTCGACAAAGTTCCTCACAACCGGCCGTTATATAAGTTAAGTAATGTTGGTGTTGGAGGAAATTTATTATTGTGGATAAAGGACTTCCTAGTTAAGCGTCAACAAAGAGTACGGGTGAACCCGAGGTTGTCTCTTTGGGAAACTGCTTATCACAGTGCCTCAGGGTACAGTTTTAGGGCCACTGTTGTTCCTCCTGTATGTAGACGACCTTCTTAGTCTCCTATCACCACAGGTTTTGTTATGTGCTGACGATGTTGAGATATGGAGAGCCATCAAAAATAAAGGCGATAGTTTAGAGCTTCGGAATGACCTGGTTAAATTATCTGGGTGGTCTAAAATTCGGCAGTTACAGACAAGTGCTTTCAAGTGCATTATGATGCATGTTGGTCACCATGGTACATATACATACACAGTGGATAATAGTGAGCCACCCGTTGTCCAGACACGCAGTAAATTAGAAGTCATCGTTAGCCAAGAATTAGAAATTGCTGCACACTGCCGCCGAAGGTTATAGATCCATATGTTCATTACATGTGGTCTTTGGCCATGTCGATGCTAAAATTATTTTGACTTTGTATACAGTATTCGCCCGTCCTAAAAAAGAACTGAATACAAACGGTCAGTCCTTGCCTAAAAAGAGGCAGTGTGTTGTTGGAAAAAATTCAAAGAACCTTAAATGAGTTGATTCTCGGAATCATAAAGCCCTCTTATGATGCTGGACCGGCTTGAGTAAATCCATTTCTGTTGTCATGTAGAAGAATCATGGGCAACTTAATCAGATTTTAAAGTAATTGGTGATGAATTTGCATCAGATATCCCCCACTTTATCTTTCGAAACTGAGAATTTACCAGGACACTCCAAAAACGCTCAAAAGGAAATTTGAATCAACCGAAACATCAACATTTTCAGGACTAATACAGACAAACTGGCTTTCCCACTTTTAAAAAATGAAACTGGGTACATCAGATGTTGAGCATTGGACGGTCTTTTAATCAGTCATTTCCGTCTCCTCCATAACTGCGACCTATTGAAGTGTGTGTACGAAGCAAATTATGGAGTAGTTGTTGCCACTGGAACAATTTGATACTCTTCGCGCGGACGTGCGAGCTAGTAAAATGTCAAATTCCTTATTCATTCGCATTTCAGGTAGCCATGATGATCCCAAGGAAACAAAAATGGACCCCTCTTGTATTGCTAATAAACTATGGACTTGTTATATCAAAAATCTCTGTTGGGGACCACTACTCCTCTCTGGAGTACTGGTCTCGTTTCTCCACTTTACAATGTCATTACTGATTCTTCGGTTAAATCTGGATGCTCAGATGTATTGGGCAGTTGTGAAAGTCCTGACAGTTGTTCAGGTACGTCACTATATTCACTGATGGTTGTCAGATTTCTTATCTGACATATCAACAAGCCGAAGCCCGGATTCTGGGAGAGGTTGTGACTCATTCCTTTCTGATTATGTGCCAGAGGACGTTCTTGATTTCGTTGCTGACTACTCGGTAAACTTATTGTTTACTAATACTTCCTTCTAGACGCGTCGTCCAGAGGCTGATTCTGAGTTTCTGTATGATGGCTACACTGATGCAAACGCGATTCCTTACTTACCACAACCTACTGACTTCCACATGCCTCAATTGCTCGGAGAATCTCTCAACATTGATTGTTTAAAGCCAAATTCATACACAAGTGATCTTATCTTGTCAAATGTTAGACGAAATGTTCATTCAAAACGACGTCGTGAGATTAATCGTGAGGCGTCAAAACGTTATCGACAAAGGTTGAAGCAAAAGTCATTGCAAACGCAACAAGATCTTAGCCTTGTTATTTCCGCATATGAGCAGTCCAAATCAGCTTACGAGAAAGCTGAGCATGCTTTTGATGTGTTAAAGAATATTGTTCTTGATCTGATTAATATTGTTCCTCGGAATTGAACCGCTTACTTCACTTTGTCCTCCCAGAAAGCCTGTACTGTCCAATATATTTCTGAGCAGTGGTATGGTATCTTTTCTGACTAAATATGTACTGTCCTGATTGCTGTGTTCGGTGGAGACATGTCTGTGTTCACTCTTTGAATGTGTAATTCTCATATATTACCAGCGTTATTTAACTACCACAACAAGTGCTTCCTGTGTTTTTGTGTCTCAGAATATTAAAACAATGTGCAAGTGTGTCTGGCGAAGTGTTATTGTCACTTGCTTCGGCTTCAGGTTTCGAATATTCAAAAACCAACATTTTAATGACACGCGGAAGCACTAAAATACCAAGAAATGAAAAACCAGAAAAACTAAGACCAAATAGTCGAAGTTAATACCAGGTAGCAAGTACATTCTCCACTTTTAACTGCATAGTTAACTACATATGTCAGTAAAAATATGCCCTCTGAAGCCGACCGTAAGCACTGAGTAGGTAAGAATACACAATTACACTACAGCAAAGTTTCGTAATAACTAAACAATGGGTGTATCCGTTTACTTCATGTCACGATTATTCCTGTTGAAATATTGGATGTACGTTTCCATACTAGGAGACTGGACATTGAAGTTCACCCAGTTAGTTTCTTCGGGAGTCAAAAACAGTGGAGCGTTAAGTATGTCAATTATTTACCCTTCACGCTGTTACTTCTTTTGGCTATTAAACCATTAAAATTCATCGAATTGAATTAATCACATTACAGATAAATCATATTGCCAGGAACAGAAATCTGCCTACTGTTGCACATTCTAGCAAGCTCCGTAATGCACCACAATGGAAACATTATTTTAGACGTTTAGTTACAGAAGACATGAGTAACCGTGACGTTTCAATAACAGTCATTGTTATTAAACAAATAATTGAAGTAGCGAATGGATCATGGAACCTGAACGTTGACCTAGTATATTTAAGGCGATAATTGATCTAGGATTCTCTTGCTTATGAGGGATAATATTTCTGTAATTTTTCTCTATTTATTCATCACAAAATATTCATATCCCATGAAAAATGTCGATTATTCCGAATAATCCAATTCTAATATATCGTCCTAAATAAACCTATGACCTTATTTGCAAAGTAGATAAAACAATAATTCATGCGATTTCCGACATAATTCAAACAGCAGTCAGATGTGCATCGGATCATCTGACAATATAGATTTGTGAAATAGTCTTCAACGTGAAGTAGATTTGCGTTTGATTTGATCTGGAACTTCGGATAGTGGCACGTTATGGCCTAGAAGCATTGACAGACATATAGTAGATTAATCGGATACATCATTGGGAAGTGATTTTCGGAGTATGTCTGTCGTGTGGACTATTTTGAGACTTTGCATTTATTGACTAGAATCTATTCACCGAATCCATATAGCTTCCAAAGATGCGCTGTGCTTTAAGTGAGATATCCATTGTATTCCTCACACCGGCAACCGTTTAGTTTGTAGTTGTTTAATCTTCTCTTCATTAGGGCGGTATCAGTGTGGTAATTGCAAACTATCCAGTAAGTACTTCACACTACCCCTTTGTTTCGTGAGAGAACAAGGTTCCTCTTCTAGTTTGTTTTGCACTCTCTAAAAGTGAATTGATGCTTCAGGAGTGAACTTATTTGTCACTACAACTTACAGGATTTCGGTTGTTTGATGTTTTATACTGTAATTTTAAGACTCACTATCTAATTCCAACAAAGGTCATGGGACTTCGTTACAACGTCTCCCTTTACATTTTCATTTGAATAAATATATCGATATCTCACAACCTACAGTAGGTATCGAGTATGTAGTATCTTCATTTCACGCACCCATTAGTATTCTTTTGGAGTTCTTCACATCTGTATAATTGTAGGTTTTGCATTTCTGTAAACGAATTGACTGACTCCTTTTTAAAACTAAGGATAGTTGTGTTCATTAGGAAATTATTGAAAAATTTTGTGATGAACAACATCTAAATAACCTCACATGAACCTTACTCCTTATTCGCCAAGAATTCTTAACAGTTGAAAAATTTGAAGTAAACCAACAGGAAATACTTCCATACATCAATGACGGAAATAACGCCTTTTTTAACACTTATCTTCATAATCTGAACAATTAACTTAATGGAGTAGAAACTGTTAGATAAAGATAGTCAAGGGCGAAATTCGAAGGCATTACACTTTCTGTATTTGGCTTTAAAACTACCACTGTTAACAACAGTGAACTAGTCCCTTTGATGGATTGTTACATAGAAACCAACGACGTAAGGACAGCATTATTAAGTGGAGTTCACTCCAAGTAAGCTTGGAAGAAAGGAACTGAAACCAGTTAGTGTTTATTAAATAACTCTAGTTGGTACTCACAGTTAATCAGTATAATAACGACCAAGTCTCTCATACTACCGATAACCTTAGTGAAAACAAATATGTATCCACCTTGCGACTTTAATAGAAGAAACCAATAATTAGCATTTCTAAAAATGTTGTTGCATCGTGTATGATTGTAACTATCTATTTTATTTAACTTCTAAGTATACTGTCATGAAATGCCACACAACCTTTCACCAAGGATATAGAGGGTTTGGTGCACTGAGAACGTTTCGTTCTTTCGATCACTTGATTTCATTGGAAAACACTGGATATTTTATTCAACTCAATTTCAAACAAGACACGATGTGATCAAGATGCTTTACATATTTAAGATGTCAAGCGTCAGGAGAATTCGGGTTTGCATTTTAGACGTTATGACATTTCTGTCGAACCGACTGACATGCGTTGAAGAACTGTTGTTTAAGAGTGAAATGCTAAAATATATTTCATTGTATTTGAAAAACGAAAGTCTCAACTATCACATATTGAAGTTACACATTTGATCGCTGTTTGAATTATGTTGAAAATCGCACGAATTATTGTTTTGCCTACTCTGTTCGCAAAATGTTTGCTCCAACAGAAACCTTAGCCTCTGTGGAACTAGTGATACCTTCCCAAAACTACAAGTGAGGTTGGTGAGAATTCAGTTTTCCATCCAAACAACCACTGATTTTGGGGAATTCTCCAAAACCTTCACAATACTGGGTGCTTATGGTTGATTATTTGGAAAGGAGACATGAGTAACCGTGACGTTTCAATAACAGTCATTGTTATTAAACAAATAATTGAAGTAGCGAATGGATCATGGAACCTGAACGTTGACCTAGTATATTTAAGGCGATAATTGATCTAGGATTCTCTTGCTTATGAGGGATAATATTTCTGTAATTTTTCTCTATTTATTCATCACAAAATATTCATATCCCATGAAAAATGTCGATTATTCCGAATAATCCAATTCTAATATATCGTCCTAAATAAACCTATGACCTTATTTGCAAAGTAGATAAAACAATAATTCATGCGATTTCCGACATAATTCAAACAGCAGTCAGGTGTGCATCGGATCATCTGACAATATAGATTTGTGAAATAGTCTTCAACGTGAAGTAGATTTGCGTTTGATTTGATCTGGAACTTCGGATAGTGGCACGTTATGGCCTAGAAGCATTGACAGACATATAGTAGATTAATCGGATACATCATTGGGAAGTGATTTTCGGAGTATGTCTGTCGTGTGGACTATTTTGAGACTTTGCATTTATTGACTAGAATCTATTCACCGAATCCATATAGCTTCCAAAGATGCGCTGTGCTTTAAGTGAGATATCCATTGTATTCCTCACACCGGCAACCGTTTAGTTTGTAGTTGTTTAATCTTCTCTTCATTAGGGCGGTATCAGTGTGGTAATTGCAAACTATCCAGTAAGTACTTCACACTACCCCTTTGTTTCGTGAGAGAACAAGGTTCCTCTTCTAGTTTGTTTTGCACTCTCTAAAAGTGAATTGATGCTTCAGGAGTGAACTTATTTGTCACTACAACTTACAGGATTTCGGTTGTTTGATGTTTTATACTGTAATTTTAAGACTCACTATCTAATTCCAACAAAGGTCATGGGACTTCGTTACAACGTCTCCCTTTACATTTTCATTTGAATAAATATATCGATATCTCACAACCTACAGTAGGTATCGAGTATGTAGTATCTTCATTTCACGCACCCATTAGTATTCTTTTGGAGTTCTTCACATCTGTATAATTGTAGGTTTTGCATTTCTGTAAACGAATTGACTGACTCCTTTTTAAAACTAAGGATAGTTGTGTTCATTAGGAAATTATTGAAAAATTTTGTGATGAACAACATCTAAATAACCTCACATGAACCTTACTCCTTATTCGCCAAGAATTCTTAACAGTTGAAAAATTTGAAGTAAACCAACAGGAAATACTTTCATACATCAATGACGGAAATAACGGCTTTTTTAACACTTATCTTCATAATCTGAACAATTAACTTAATGGAGTAGAAACTGTTAGATAAAGATAGTCAAGGGCGAAATTCGAAGGCATTACACTTTCTGTATTTGGCTTTAAAACTACCACTGTTAACAACAGTGAACTAGTCCCTTTGATGGATTGTTACATAGAAACCAACGACGTAAGGACAGCATTATTAAGTGGAGTTCACTCCAAGTAAGCTTGGAAGAAAGGAACTGAAACCAGTTAGTGTTTATTAAATAACTCTAGTTGGTACTCACAGTTAATCAGTATAATAACGACCAAGTCTCTCATACTACCGATAACCTTAGTGAAAACAAATATGTATCCACCTTGCGACTTTAATAGAAGAAACCAATAATTAGCATTTCTAAAAATGTTGTTGCATCGTGTATGATTGTAACTATCTATTTTATTTAACTTCTAAGTATACTGTCATGAAATGCCACACAACCTTTCACCAAGGATATAGAGGGTTTGGTGCACTGAGAACGTTTCGTTCTTTCGATCACTTGATTTCATTGGAAAACACTGGATATTTTATTCAACTCAATTTCAAACAAGACACGATGTGATCAAGATGCTTTACATATTTAAGATGTCAAGCGTCAGGAGAATTCGGGTTTGCATTTTAGACGTTATGACATTTCTGTCGAACCGACTGACATGCGTTGAAGAACTGTTGTTTAAGAGTGAAATGCTAAAATATATTTCTTTGTATTTGAAAAACGAAAGTCTCAACTATCACATATTGAAGTTACACATTTGATCGCTGTTTGAATTATGTTGAAAATCGCACGAATTATTGTTTTGCCTACTCTGTTCGCAAAATGTTTGCTCCAACAGAAACCTTAGCCTCTGTGGAACTAGTGATACCTTCCCAAAACTACAAGTGAGGTTGGTGAGAATTCAGTTTTCCATCCAAACAACCACTGATTTTGGGGAATTCTCCAAAACCTTCACAATACTGGGTGCTTATGGTTGATTATTTGGAAAGGAGACATGAGTAACCGTGACGTTTCAATAACAGTCATTGTTATTAAACAAATAATTGAAGTAGCG